TCCATACCTTACAGCACAAATCTATACCGAGTATACAGCTAGTCAGCGTGGCCAGCCGTGCTTCTGTATGTGACCTACACGTAGACCTATCTATAAAAATTAAGGGTGATGCAGGTCATGAGGCTGTTGCCCTTGCAAGCCCAAACAACAGGTTATACTCAACTTTCGTTTGAGAAGAATCTCCTAAGTCATGACTTGAAGACTACACAGCTCTGAGGACTTTCCCCCACCCTTCGTGTGACAGCACTGGGGGCATGACCAGTCAATCACTAAGCTTCAGTGCTGTTACATAAGAAGCAGATGAGGAGAAAGTCTGTCAGCAAAGGTCCCGCACCGCGAATGCTCAGGGAAGAACAAACACGCGCATGCGCAGTACACGTCCTGCCCACGGAATGACGCGCCAACGGGCGCACCGGAAGTGACGCGCATATGGCGCAGAAAGACGCGCCAAATGGCGCACCGGAAATGATGTGCTTGATAGATTCCATGCCCTATTTAAACCCAGCTCACATGGCCCTTAGTTGCTGGTTTGTCTTTCCAGCTTATGTGTGTTCCTTGAATCCTGTTTTGCCTGGTCCTGTATACTTCTGAACTTCCTGGATTTTGACTCGTTTCTGTTTTGCCGACCATCCCCGCTTGCTGCCTGCCTTTTTGACCTCGGACTGTTTTCTGGATTTTTCTTCTGCCTGCTCCATTCTGTACTGCATCGAATCTCCTGGCTATTTGACCCCGGCTTGTTGTGACTCCGAATACCGGATTTCGCCAAAGCACGTATCAGCCAAAACCTGTTATAACTGCATGCTCATTTTTTCATAAAAGGCCTGTAATGAGCAAAATACATAGGCTACCACTGTTTTGATAGTGCTAGCTGCCTTATTGTCTCTGGCTTCCATACCTTACAGCACAAATCTATACCGAGTATACAGCTAGTCAGCGTGGCCAGCCGTGCTTCTGTATGTGACCTACACGTAGACCTATCTATAAAAATTAAGGGTGATGCAGGTCATGAGGCTGTTGCCCTTGCAAGCCCAAACAACAGGTTATACTCAACTTTCGTTTGAGAAGAATCTCCTAAGTCATGACTTGAAGACTACACAGCTCTGAGGACTTTCCCCCACCCTTCGTGTGACAGCACTGGGGGCATGACCAGTCAATCACTAAGCTTCAGTGCTGTTACATAAGAAGCAGATGAGGAGAAAGTCTGTCAGCAAAGGTCCCGCACCGCGAATGCTCAGGGAAGAACAAACACGCGCATGCGCAGTACACGTCCTGCCCACGGAATGACGCGCCAACGGGCGCACCGGAAGTGACGCGCATATGGCGCAGAAAGACGCGCCAAATGGCGCACCGGAAATGATGTGCTTGATAGATTCCATGCCCTATTTAAACCCAGCTCACATGGCCCTTAGTTGCTGGTTTGTCTTTCCAGCTTATGTGTGTTCCTTGAATCCTGTTTTGCCTGGTCCTGTATACTTCTGAACTTCCTGGATTTTGACTCGTTTCTGTTTTGCCGACCATCCCCGCTTGCTGCCTGCCTTTTTGACCTCGGACTGTTTTCTGGATTTTTCTTCTGCCTGCTCCATTCTGTACTGCATCGAATCTCCTGGCTATTTGACCCCGGCTTGTTGTGACTACGAATACCGGATTTCCCCAAAGCACTCGTGCCACTCCCTGCCTGGCCTTTGTCCCCAACATCAAAGGCCACAAGACACGAGGTGCAAGAGAAGCCTCCTCAACCTTCGGTCTCCATACTAGGTACGTGATAAAGTCACATGTTCCCCTATAACCGGAAGTACAAGGTATTTTTTGTTGCTCCCACTGGCTGAACGATCCTGCAGAGGAGCAAAGTGAAGGTGAGTATGTGCTGATACAGTGGTGGCCATCAAAGTTTGGCTCTGCTTTGCCAAATAAAAGATTACCATTAGGGGTTAAGACAAAACAATTACACAAAAGCCAAGCATATGCATGGCACAATCGTCACCTGCATAAGATGATGGTATTGGGAATACCGCAACCCCTGTGCAGACCTACTTTACTCAAAAGTATTTTTAAAAAGCAGAGGGGACAGTTATTAAAACCTTGCGACTTTGATTATTGCTTTATAAGATATATTGAAAGAAAAAAAAACAACTTCTGCTTTTTAATTCTATCTATTCACTTTTATTGTAACAACCAGATAAAACGTTCTCACTGCAGCTTCCCAGCATGCACATTTTAGACAAAAGTCTTTCATAAACATAAATTAAACCATTTTCCAAGGATACAAAAATATTTATAGAGTGCTAACAGTGTATGCAGTGCTGTAGAGGGTTCGTAAGAAAGGCGAGTGAGCGTGACGCCTACATTAAGAGTAGACAAGGGCTGGGTTGTATACATCCATCCAGCTGCTGGTGAACTACAGCTTCCAGCATATCCTTCCAGCATCTGGAGAATCCTAGTATAGACAGCACATCCAGCAGGACACTGTTTCTTAGCAGTAACCAAGAACTATTATACACAGCTTAGCCAAGGTCCCTTTTCAGCAAAAGGAGCCCAGGGGTGTAGAATTTGAAGGGAATCATATTTTAAATCATTCTTTTCTAAGGTAGGTGGATGTGATTGGATTCATGTAAATAATCTTGAGGTGTCATTGTTCATCTTCTTTATAGCTTTTAAATAAAATGAACATGTGGAAGCCATATTTTGCTCATTGGATATGTATGCTGTGCTCCCAGTTTTGTAATGCAGCACAGTGATTTTTCTTTATCCCTACTCTCATCTCAGTTTACAATAATGGACTAAGCTCTGTTAATAGATGTTCACTAAAAGCCACTTAGTAGGGGCCTGTCCTGTCTTTTTTTTGAACAGCAAGATGACTACTGCTGATAAAAAGAAGGCCGTAGGCACAAGCATCTACAAGTAGGCAATAAATATATGAAACATCAAGTAAAATGTGAAAAAATCTACTTGAAAAAAAGTCAAGTTTATAATAAGATCTCTAAATGGGTTCTGATCTAAAACAAAAGTTTGGTTTGCTTTTACCACACAAGAAGGAGTAGGGTCACATGACCAACAACAGCTATAGGCACTGATGATAGAGTATTTCCATTTTTAATGAAGGGTTTGCTGATGTCAGCCCTCCACTGTACTTCTGCTATGACTTCAAGTCACATGATCCAGATTTAAAAAGCTGATTAATAGCCTGGCTACCCCCGCCTGTGTGATTAATGTGGACCCAACTTTAGTTGATACCCTTTCAGTTAACACCACCTTTCCGACCCATTTGATATTGTAAGGCAGGACATGAACTAATCAGCTTTGTTATCTTGTTTTCTTTAGTGAGCTCTAGACAGAATAAGGTCAGATTGGCATGTATAATCTGATTTTATTTTTGACCAGCTTCTTGCCCAAACAGGAATGCTGCATTTCCATGAACACTCCTGTGTATGGCAATGGAGAATGGAAGAGGAACTGCACACAGATACTCCGCCAAGATAAACGGTGAACAGCACCTTTAAGCTTACCATAGCCATATGTAATCAACCAATTATTTTACTATGGAAAACTACACATTCTATGCTGAAAAAACATCCACAGATCGGCAAACAAAAATGTTTTCCCAGGACTTAACATGAACCTGAAGGGCACAGCAACAAGCTAAGGGCTTGTCTAATGGGCTTTTGTTTACTCTAGGTGGGTTTTGCTTGCTCATAGAGTACAAGTCTATGGGAATGCAAAACCTGCTTGAAGGAGGGCAAAAGGACATCAGCTGCAGGTAAATGCACCTGTAAATGAACTAAAAAGCATCTCAATCTAATGCCATCTACACAAGCCCAAAGCCTGTTGACACAGGCCCCAACTTAACTTCTGTCCTCCCCAGCTGCACACTTACCTTTGCTCCGATTAGCTTGCAGAAACCCTATGTAAAGTCTAGGTAGTGACTTGGAGTTTAGTTTCTCCCCACCCCCATGTGACGTGTGGGGTTTTTTAGTGGCAAATTGCAGAACACCAGTGTTGTCACATAGGGGAGTGAGTCAAATGCTCCTCTGTCCTGGCAGCAAAACAGAAAAGAGGAACAAAGGAAAGGCAGGAGGGTAGCTTTGCTTTAGCTCTCATGGGCAAAACACTGGTTCGCATAAAGAATCATGAAATTCTGTGAATGGTTAAACTGGGAAAAGCTTTTGAAGCTATGCAATCCTAAAGTTGGCCATAGACCATTATCTCACCAAGAACAAGTGGTGGGACCTCTGCCTGTCCTTAACAGCATCATTGTCCCACTTGGATCCTTTACTACATTGCCACATCACCAGGAACTGCCACATCGATTCCCCTGATTGGTGACTGTAGCACCCACATGTTGACATATATAGATAAAGAAAAAGAGAAGCAGTCCAAACATGCTCAGATCCTTTTACTGTAGAAAAGAACTGTACTGAGTGTTATCGCAGTTGGATGTTCTGGTCATCACCTTATGCTACATGGGCTCCTCACACGTGATGTTTGCCTCTGGCACACCACTTGTAACAATCAAACTGTGTATGGTGACCCTTAGGGCTTATTAAAATGTTCAGCCCACAAGAAAAATCTGAAATTGCCCTTTGGGCATACTGGCTTCTTCAGAGCGTGTACAGGCCTAACAGAAAAATAGGTGTAATAAATACTATATACAAAGTTCCAACTTCACTATCCTGCCTTACAATATCAATTTTGTTTGCAAAAGGCTGGAATCATGCTTTAACCCACCAGCTGTGATCAACATAGTGCATGTTGTACTAATAAAACACATCCTTCAAATCTTCCTCAGATTTGGACATTTTTGACACATGTCCTTGAAGGTCCATCAAATGTTCAATGAAGCAAAAAAAAAATGAAAAAAAAAGCAGAATCCATTTTGTCCTATCCATGGAACATGTGACGTTGGCCGCTTGTCACTGGCCGGTCTGTGCTGTAATATTACCAGTGATGCTCAGCGTTGGACAGTGTACAAGTCCTATATAGAAATTAATACCAACATTTCATCATTTTTTTTTGTCCAAAAAGTTTTAGGCTGTACTTTGCAAAATAGTTTTATTTACAGTTTATTTACAAGTTTTTATCCTCCTCCAGTTTGTATATAGTCCGTGTCAGGAAGAAAGGACGTGTGCCAACACCGTACGTTGCTTAAACTTAAAAGGAGGAAAATATATATTTATGTATATAATATTTAAAGGTTTTTTTATATATGCCAACAATGTGTCTCTGATGAATTATGAACATATGGCACAGAGGATGTACAGATTGCACTTCCTTAGCAAACCTGTGGAAAAAAAAAAAAAAGTTGAGTTGATCTTTTGACCATACAAATGGAAAATATCACATTTATGATTTTACGGGTATCTATACCCAAGACCTTTTTTTTTTAGTGTTGGATAAAATTAAGAAAGTTTAGAACCCTTGTCAGGTTTTACTACTATCCAGGGATCAATTTGAAAGGTTTGCCCCGGTTTCTATTCTGGAGACAGGCAGTGAGGGAAAATCTGCACCTGGGAAACAGACAATAAAAAGCAAAAAAACCTCCAGCCCCAAAAAAACAGTTTTAGTTTTGGACAAGCTGGTGAGTATATTATTGCTCTTCTACAGACATAGGGAAAATATTTTCTTACTTCCTGCATGATCACAGAGACAGGATATATCCAAAAGCTTCTCAAAGAGGGCACAGAAAGTAATAAAAAAATGTTTTTTTTTTAAATAGAGCGGGAAAGGGGTGGAGCCTCTGTCAGGATTTTACTGCTGGACAGGAGGTCCAAACCAAAATTGACACAGACAGTGGTTCTACCATTTCCCTACTCTATGCAAATCTAAAGTTTTGCCTAGAACTGGCCTACAAGTCTTCCAAATACATTTTGGTGTGCCCCGGAGCATTACGCACTCCAATTTTCTAAAAAAAAAAACTTTTATCTTCTCTTTCCTGTTAATCCTGTTGGCAACAACTCCAAGGTGACAACAACTCCATGGTGGCAACAACTCCAAGGTGGCAACACTAGATGCAGGCAGATTCAGCAAGCTTTCACAGTGCTTTGGCTCAGGACCTCAGCCAGTTTTTATAGTATATTATATAGTATATTCTGTGTTGTGGGAATCCCTAATGATGGGGCTAGAATCCAGGGGACACAATGAGCTGCACAAAATATTTAGACTTCAGTCCACATAAGACTGATAACTAAAATATATTTTTTTAATGGCCTTGACCTTTAGTGAAAAAATTCTAGGTAACTAAAACAAAAGAGGTTACAGAAGAATTTTAGAAGGTTGGTGAGACAACATGATTGATCTAAATCCCATCTCAGAGTATGCACTCACTTTCTGGTCAGGCAGCATGGGGCTACTCTGAAGTGGGTTGCTCTGAAGACTGTTTAAGTGTCCATTCAGTAAACCGGAAGGCCGGTCATGTTCACAGAAGATGGTGCCATTGACGTAGTGAAATCTGTCTCCTGGCACGAGTCTGTTCCTGCATGTGGCACATGTGAAACACTGAGGAGGGAAAAACATGGGAAAAATTAACTGAATGTTTACAGATATACAAATATGAACATCAGTGGAAAATGTATTAAGAAATGGAAAGCTGCAGTCATAAATTCCAGTCTATTTATGAGGACTAGGAAACAATCGCTGATAATAGCAATGGCTCATTAAATTACAGTCGGGACTTGACTTTAGAGTGAATTTGTCTTTCCCCATACAGAAATACATATTCTTCTGGCTTCCTATAGCAATAGGATTATCACTTTCATTCTAATTTTGAAAATGTAAGCAAGAACATAATTGGCTGCTACAACAAACGTTCCTACAGTCACTTATACAAACACATGTCACTTTACTAGAGCGACTGAACCACCTCTACTGATTGTAGTCTTACCTTCAGGTGGTATACACTGCCCTGTGCCCTCATCACCATTTCACTGGCTGGGATGGACTGTCCACATGCACTGCATGCCCCGCTGCTCCCAAATAACCTGCGAGAGAAAACAGGTGGCTCATTAGTTGACGTGAAACCAAACAGAAAAAAAAACCCACTTTAAAATACCCCAGACAGCCATTTTGGTTTTCTAGCAATCTTTCGCAAAATAACTTCTAGATGTCAAATGATTTATCAACAATATCATATTATATACCACTATATAAACAGCAAGTTATTTCCAAGCATCTCCAGGTCTCTTAGGTTCAACTATGGTCAATTTCTAGGCATTTTCCAAACAAAAGTGTTATGCAATTTAAATGAACGGCAATACATATCAATTATGTGTTATCATTTTAACAACAGGAGCATACAGAAGTTTGAGTACATGTACAATTAGTCAGGAATGCCTGCCCTGAGGAACCCTATGAAATTTTGTATCAGTGGATGCCATGGGAGGTAATTGTTGACACATGTTACAAAAAAGGCCTTCTTCAACCTCACTAAAATCATGGGCATCAAGCTTTACTTCTACAGGAAAGGTTGAAAACTAAGTCCTCCATAGCAGAAGCCATTTTTGTGAACCAAACATACTTAGTTCTAACATTTTCTGGTTGGAATGTGAAAACTTAGTTGTGAACAGATATTGCTGCAACACAAGGACATTGTAATCAGATCCATAAACCCCCCTACAAGGAAGCATAGTAGCTTCACATCTTGATGGGGGTAACACACATATGGCCATACAATTATGTTATCTAGACATCTAGATGAAAATGAACAGATAAGGAATGTGTGACTACAGACCCCCTGCCAGACTGATCATTGTGTGTAAGGTTTCACAATCCAATTTTTTGGACAATCACCATCTATGAGGCCAGTGCCAGGGGCATCTACTTCCTGCATAAACATCCACTTTAGGCTAAAACAATCAAGAAGGGCCTGGAGCAAATAAGACAAAAGGACATGTGTAAGGACCACATGACAGGATTGAAGGGGTGACAGCAGGGATCTCAAGTCTCCCTGATGTTCAGGGAGTCTCCCTCTTTTGGACAGCAGCTCCCTAGGTAGCTCTAGGTTTAAGAAATAGAAAATAAAAGTCCCATTACCGGACTGGTGCTATTGGTCTCAGGTAGGAGGGGCCTTCTGAGATGACTGGCAGAGAGGAGCAAGGCTAGTGGCATTCTCAGGATGATCAGCAACAGAAAAGCTTCCCACCCTCCCACTGTGTAATTTTATTCTACTTGTAATTTATTGGGTTTTTTAAGTCTGTCATGGCATTTAGTGTCTGGTTTCAGGATCACCGAAGGTGTAATTAGTGTAAAAGTGAATTGGGACCCTTTCTAAGGTATGGCATCCCATTTTAGTGTGGTCCAGTTGTTAAGACGCAGCATCAATGTATGGATGTGTATTCTGCCATAGCTCCTGTAATTGTCCCTGAGGGTTCGGTTTTCCTTATTACAAGTGGTAAAGGGGCAGGGGGGATATGGTCTAATGGTAATAGTGGTGGGTTCCCTTTGAAATACCCTTATGCATTTTTTGGAGAATCATCCCTAATAAGAAAGCTCTTTAGGCTCTTCTGAACACCATGTCACATCTATGGCTCTCCGTGGTTTAAAAAGGAAAGCCCTAGCAGGCCTCGTGGGACTTAAGGCTGCTGTCAATTGAAGTACTGGTGATACAGGAGCTCCAGGACCTGTAAGAGTACAGGGGGGGGGGGGGGCGGGCTGCACCACTCAAGTGCCAACTATGAATACCTTTAGTTCTGTTATACATGACAAGATTGCCAGGGGGGCAGAAGGTCAGAAGCCAGTTTCTCCACATTAATAAGGTATCCTCCTTACATCATAGGAGGGAAGATGTTGTTTCAAGATGTAGCACGTCATTACTTTGTACCCTCAAGATGTATTTTTAGTTCATGGGGCCTATTTATTGAAGAATAATTGGTTTAGCAAGCATTAGCTGATGAACACTTATTGTGTCATTCACCATAATTATGAAGCACATTATACATTTTTATCAATGAATCACCCACTGACTACAGCAAGGGTTTTGCTTACGTTTTCTTATTGAATCTACAAACTATCACTCCCCCCCCCCAATCAACACATGGACAATTCTGCAATTCCGCACTAAAGATAATTCAGCACTGGGAAATGGTGGTGTGGTGTTCTGAAAGTATTGAAGCCGTTCACATTTTATATAGAGCATTTGATTATTTTGGTTTTCAGTTTTGTTTGATTGATTTCTGTTAACCTTTTGACATTAGAAGTGATTGGATAAATGACACTGCGTTATCGATAAAATGTCACACTAAACCACATGTTAGACATCCAACCAATTAAAACAGTTGTATGGTGTGGTCTATCGCATATTATGTGTCTACAGCCAGCATTAGTTCTAAAATACTTTTCGTTTTCCATCCACACAAATTTTGCAACTCACCTCATTTGTACAGGGTGAATTCTCCTAGAGTCACCTTATGTTATTAATAGCCCCTATGTTGTCCTCCGTGATTTCTAGTTTGCCTTTCAAACACTTGCAAAGCCAGCACCCCCTCTCGTTAATAATCTGTTTGCGAGTCATCATGTAGGTGACGAGACTTTAGAAGTAGATGAATATTGATTGATGCTGCTTGATTACACTGCACACTTAATCCCCAGCCCTTGCTGCCCTGTAGCACTAACTCTAATTAATTGGAAAGACCCGCACACTATGAAGAGTTTATCCCAGGAGGATCGTAAATACCAAATTCCGAGGGAAAGATGAGTAGCAAAATCATTTCCAGTGTAATTATAGGAGAAGCTCACTTTTGGTCCATTAGGGGTTAAACCTGGCAAGGCAGGTCTTAAATCTTTGGGACGATGACAAATAAATCATTAACCCTTTTGTGACTGAGATCTACGTAAGTTAGGCTGTATTTTTCACATTCAGGTTGGACATTCATATCTTGACTTTAGTAACTGTTCAATGTCCTCTTGGGTATAGTCCCACCTTCTTGCTATGGATCCTGAATATCTCTGCTTCCAACTTGTGATCACTCACTTAGTTGCTGTTATTTTATAAAGGGAAATGTTTCATACACATGGTCGCTGTACCAATGGTGGACCATAAGCCACCAGTATGAAGGTGGTCTGATTAAATATGAGCTTTCGAGTCTGTTCATCTAAAAAAAAATATATAGGTACTTTTCATATTTGTATGTATCCAACTTGAGGATACAACATGTTTCCTGTACATGAATGTTTTCGGACAGATACATGCTGCACCCTTTTGCCCAATCCTTGTTTCCTTCCCTGTCATATGAGAACCACAGAGGCTGTCACTGCTGACCTCTCCGTGAAAATACAATGGGGGGGAAATTTATCAAAACTGGAGCAGACAAATTCTGGAGCAGTTGCCCATGGCAACCAACCAGCTTTTCTTCAGTTTGTTCAGGTAAGATTTGAAAATGAGAGAGAGAAGCTGAATGGTTGCACTCCAAATCCGCTCCAGATTTTCTCTGCTCCAGTTTTGATCAATTCCCCCCAATGTTGCTTGGCCATCATGTTGACCCTCTGCCTTTAATACTAACTCTGGCCATACAACATCAGAATTTCATTTGAAAAATGTGTTTTCGGAACGTTCATTTGATTTTCTTATAGTTAATAGGGTCAAATCTACAATTGTTTTCACCCACAGTGACGAACAAAATATAAAGGAGCAGGATAGAAATGTTTGCGGACAATCAAAAATCTAACACTGAATGTGGATTTTGTTAATTTTAAAATTGAATATTAAAACCAAAATAAATTTCGCCTGAGCGCTTGTACAAAAATCTACCAAGGTATGGCCAACTTTACGGACCCAGAAATAATTTACTGTAAGGAACATTTGTTTTTTTGCAGACATCCTTAATCACATACATATTCCAAGTCAACAACTCGCAATCTATTAATGATAAAGCATCAGCAAGGCAGCCGAGCAAACAGCATTTAAGAAAGTGGTCAGTAATGGCAGTCCCTATTATAATCTCTTGCAACAGCTTGACTTTAAAGGATCCAAGTATGCATGCTTGCTGTGGGTGTCCAAAATCAGAACGATGCAAGAGACTAGTGGTCACAAAGGGCAGAACCAAGAGGACTTACAATGGGATATCTACACATCTTTGTTCAAACTGCTTCCCACCTGGAACCTGCAATGTCACCCTCAACTCTGCTGACCCACTACAAAATTCTTGTTACCTTGAAATGATGAAAATATTCTGTCTTATAGTGTTCAGTGTGCTAGTTATTGCTTACAAAGATCTGCCTATGTTGAACCCCCACTCAGCCCAATCACCAAATAACTCATATTAGAGGTGAATTGAGTGGACTTGTGCTGTAATCCTAGCATTAGCAAATCACAGGCTGCCATCTTCTTCTCCAGACTTTGTCATCCATGTAAACCTGCATCTGCCCACTGCAAATATATCTCCATGTTATATATACGTACTACCCCCACAAGCGAGGTCGAGACACCCTTTAGCAAACACGGGCAAGAGAAAGTGGCTTGAAATTTACACAGCAGCATTCTCCACCTCCCTTCGTATCACTTTAAGGAAATAGGAAAAAAAAGTAGTCTATTAAATGAGCTTCTGCCTTTATTAAATGTTTTCCCTCCGTCTCCTTGAAAATCTCGTCTGAATCGGCCGTGTAATTGATGTGAGTTTGCCTTTAATATCCTGTTCCATGGCTCTTTGACACAATCCTAGAGCAGCCGCCAAACTGCCGTCCAATCTAATAAAGAGGCCCCCGTAATGAATTTTCGATCTTAATTTAAACAGTAATTTAAGCGGGGAAGGCGGGGGGGCTGGACAAGAAAGCCCTGTTATTTCTTCCAATTGAAATGTGTCTTTCAGAGAGAAGAAGAAGTGAGAAGGGGGGAAGGGGGAAGGATGAGAATAGGACAGTGCTGGTCCGCGGAACTCAATCTGTAGACCGCTCACACCAGTGCCTCGTCACGGGGGTAGAGTCAAGTTAATTAGCTTGATCGCCGTTTGTCGCTTATGCTGTTATGGAACAGTGTCAGTCTCTCACA